GGAAAAAGCTTCTCTTTTAAGTTTCCATCAACATTTACATTGCATTCTAAGATTTCACTTCTAAATGGCACAAAACCTGAGAGGAAAGAATAACATTCACTTTAGAAAAATGATAAATTAGTATAAGCCATGGTAATCATATTTGATGTTGGGAAGTTTGTAATTATCAAGGTTAGTCGAATGAATGATTTGCAAAATTCGGAAAAAATAGAGAAATTAAGTCCACATTATATGGGGTCATATGAAATTATTGAAATGATTGGAAATGTAGCTTGCAGATTATTTTTACCAGCCTGCAGGCAAGCAATACATGATCTATTTCATATCTCTATACTTGGAAAATATACCGTTGATCCATCAAGTTATTACAGATCCAATTGATATAGTGCCTGATCTGTCTTATATAGAGAAACCTGGGAGAATATTGGAATGCAATTTTAAGAGGCTCTACAAATACATCTTTTGTTGTTTGTTTAATAGTGTTTGTTATTTTATCCCACATAGAATTTGTTTCTTCATAAACATCCCAAATCTTGAAATATTGAAGTTTACTCATAAAATAATTTTAATTGTGTCTTTCAGGTGCTCCATTTAATTTTATAACAATGTTTCTTAGAATTTTTTATCTTACAATTCTTCATTTTAAAATCTAGAACTAATAATCGATGTTGAATACTTAAATTTTCACTTAGAATGACCTTATAATCTTTACATTCTAGACGATATCTTTTTCTCATAAAAAAATAATCAATTTGTGTTCTATTAGATCCATTTTTATAAAAAATAATATGTTCATCTCTTTTCTTAAATAAAGTATTAGTAATAATAAAATCATACGTTAAACAATCTAGGGGTTTTTACATACATAGCACCCAAAACTTTCATATTTACTTATCTCACACCAAAACTTTCATAATTACAAACATCATTTGAAAAATAACACTCATCATCACCTTTTAATAGTCAAATCCATCTTTTCATCTATAAGTAAAGTGTTGTGTGTAAAAATGGAACTTTAGATGTGAGATAGGTAAATCCATAAGAATTTGGTGTTATGTATGTAATTTTCCCAAAAATCTAATATGGTTTTACATTCTTCATTAATCACTCCAAAATCGTAGTCAATATGAATAGTTCTAAAATTTTTTATCAGTCTACCAACATGTTCATTTAAATCTCCTCTAATAAATTTTTTTTCTTCAAGAGGTATCATTTATATTAATTCTTCTAGATCATTCTATAATTTTTCTTTAAAACCTATATCTTAACCTACTTGAAGAGCATAAGCGCTTATATCATTAAAAATTTTAGTATCAAGAAAATCTTAAGGGTTATAATTCTATCTTCAATTCTATTAATTTTTACAACGTTATCTTTCAAACTATTATCTATAATTACATCTATACAATTTCTAATGTGACTCCTACCTAAATATCAAAGTTTAAAACCTAGCCTATCAATCTCCTTAGCTTTTTCTCTAATCAATTTAATTTATTGAATACATAAAATATTTATCTTCCTATGAACCATTGAGATATCTAATTGTATTATAAAAATTTTAAAAGACTTAACATTCTAGATAAAAAAGAGAAATAAGAGAGCCTCAAAACAATAAATGAATAATTAATGTTTTTGCTTGTAAGGTTATACTAAATTCAGTTTTTTTATTTTTAAAATTCATTCATATTTTTATGGATTAAATTATAATAGTATAAACAAAGTAAATGAATATTATTTTACAAATGTTTCATCTATTGTATTCGCACATAGAAATTAAATGAAAATCAAATATAATAAATATAAAAGTCAATCATAAGAGTCTACTACATATAATAGTCATTAAAGATTCTATTGTGCTCGTACACAAAAATAGAAAGGAAGAATATTTAACAAAAAATGAAAATGAATATAACTTAATTATTACAATATTTTAAACAAAACTCTTGAGATGTCTTTAAATAAAATACAATTAAAATTTTATAAAAAAATTTAAAAAAAAATAAAAATATTTAAAAGTTTTAATAAAATATAATTTTAATGTTTTATCATTTTTTAACATCATGTTAGAGCATATGAATAAAAGTTTAGTACACAGTATAATTGTGTTATTCACTAAGTTGTTGTATAAGTTAACATGTTTAACTGTTTATCTTAGTAAAAACTCTTTTAAATATTAAATGGCTGACATAAATAGTATGTTTATAGAAGAAGAGCAAATGAAGATAGATATTACTAAAATATTTTAGTTTCTTTATTAAATTTTTTGTTGCAATTTTTATATTTATCTCTGTATGGATGATGATTCAAAAATTGTGGATTAGTGACTCTTTATTGTTTGAATGATTGTTGTGGATTACTATTAATGATAGATTGGCATGACAGTACTGTCTAACCCTCAATTCCTGTCTTCATAACTTCAAGCTCCAAAGTCAAGTCATGGCATAATAAGACCATACAGAAATTAACATTTACACGATAATAAAAAAAAATCATACTTTTGCACATTTAGCCAAACCTAAAACACACACACAAAAAAAAAATCAAAGTCGATGAAAAAGAATATGTATAAAAAACAACAAATACCAAGACCAACATGATTACGGGGAGAAAGCTTTCTCTTGAAGTTGCCATTGCATACTCCAAGAATTCACCTCTAACCCACACACAAAAGTTGACAGGAAAAAAAAATGTTCATTGAGCAATATGATGAGTTTTTACACTACACAATAAACTATTCATAATCCTAAAAACTCAAAATTAGCAATGTATTCATATAAAAAGTAACCCAAAACATATACTTTCCTAAGACATTCAATCCGACTTTATAATCCCAAATCAATTAAATGGCGACCACAAATCCCAAAGCTCAAATTAGAGACAGCCTTCCAAATCAACAAACTAGTAGCAAGCAATCTGTGGTCCCTTGCTACAGAAGACACGCATGCTCTGGGATCCAAAACAATGGTAATAACTACAGGAACCTCAAAAGCATAATCTTGCTTCAGTGTCAGAATAAGAGAAAGGATTCCACAATAGTAATACTCTATCCTCACGGCCAGGATGAAGTATAACATTAGCAAATAATGCTCCAACCAATTAAATTAGAAGATGTAGCGGTTCTAATAAGTACTAGATATCTTTGGCATCAATCATGTGAATTCACCTGAAAAGAAGAATTTTTACAAAAATGTCTCATTAAAAAAAAAATTACAAAACCTAGAAAACACATTCATTACGATAGAAAGACTCCATACTGAGTAAAATTAAAAATTTATTATCAAAAAAGCACTCAAGAAGGAGATTGGTTCATCTAAGTCTTTTAAAAGGTATCAAAACAGAAATGAAGCTTCCAGCAAACCCAAAAGGTGCACTATTATTTATTATTAAACCAAACAAGTTCATATGCTTAACAACTCATTTATTTTGATGGCTTGACTTCAACAATAACAATAACAATAGCATAAAAGAATGTATTATTAATTCTAAAGGAAGTAGAAGTATAAGAATCATAGAGCAAGGGCAGGGCACTTGAAATACCTCATACTCCCTATTTTACTTTCTTACGGCCTTACTAGAAAACAAAGTGTGGGAGAATTTACATGCCCTAGAAACCATTCTATATATTTAAATGATTCAACTTTGCAATATACAAAAGCTTTGTAGGACATGCTAGAAGCAAGCTTTATAGGTGAATCAGGTATCAAACATGTAGCATAAAATTATCAAATAGCACATGGAAAGTGTCTTGTTGCAAAATTTCCCAATCTACATGAATCATTTCTCTCCATTGCATCCTATTGAGTGTCATATCTTCATTTAATTCTAATAGATTAAGATCATTTTTTATAAAATTAGCCCAAGCCATTTTAGGTTACATCTGCTTTTCTTAACATGTCGACTCTAAAACATTTACTCTTCTAACAGAATCATCAGATAGCCAACGTTTAATGTGACCTAACCATCTACGACGACTCTCTCTAATCTTTTCCGCCACTAAAGCTACACCAACTCTATCACGGATATATTCATTTCGCACTTTGTCTCTTAGTGTCAGGCCAATCATCCACCTAAGCATTCCATCTCAGTAACACTTAGCTTTATTTTATGCTTCTCTTTTAAAGACCAACATTCTGCGCCATAGATCATCGCAGGTCTCACCACCATCTTACAAAATTTTCCTTTAAGTTTGAGCAGTATTTTTCTATCACGCAATAGGCCCGATGCATTCCTCCACTTCAACTAACCAACTAGAATTCTAATAATAATATCCCCATCTTATCCCCATCTATATCACATCCCCATCTATATCACTGTCACTTTGAACTATAGACCCAAGATATCTAAAACGACCCCACCTTTTAATGATTTAATCACCCATAGTAACAAGTCTACCACTAGAGCTACTACTACTAATATTATATTCCATGTATTCAGCTTTAAATCTACTCATATGAAGGCCTTTAGACTCCAATGTAGACCACCATAATTCAAGTTTTTCCAAAACTCTTTCTCTAGTCTTAAAACTCTTTCTCTAGCTCTAGTCTTATCCACAAGAAGAATATCATCAGCAAAAGCAAACACCAAGGAAATCATAAAGGACTCTTCTTCTGTCAAAACACCCATGATAAGCGTTTATAAATTTGAAAAACTGAGTTTAAAAAATTCAGTGATCTGCGAACTTTTGATATATGAATAGCAACCAAGGGAATTTAACATTTCTTCTCTAGAAAAAATATGCACAAATAAATGTAGTGTTAAAACCTAAGACCCGCTTAAGCCTTAAGAATTTCAGTTAGTTTTTCTACAGTTTCATCATAATGGGTATCAATAACAAAGAGTTTATTAATGATTGCTAATGAATAAAAACATGGTTTTCAAAATAAGTACAGCTATAGTTGTCCCATATCATGTCCAAACATCGAACTATTATATATACTAGTGTACTTGTTTAATAGTAGCATGTCTTGCTTGCACAAAATTTTAATTAATGGGGTACTCACTGCTTCTTGAGTGCAACGAAAGAATTTAATTCTTTGATCTGCCAATACAGAACAAATAGCACAATTAGTACAAACATTAAAAAAAATCAAAATACCCCATATTGGAAAATGAAGTTTACTGGTTTCAGAGACGAGTACAATACCATTGCCTGCTTTCTATCATTCAGCATTTTGATGACAGAAGTGGTATTTTGACTTTCCTCCACCTTCAACTCTCTATCAAATTCTTTGATGAGCCTGACAGAAGTTTAAGTTAGAAAACAAAGATAAATAAAAAATGTAGAACAGTAGATTGGTAAGTTTCTCATCATCATCAATAGCTTTAAATAAACTATTTGTGGCTGCATTTAAAATTTCTCCTTTTGCAATCATTTTGATTATGTTACATAAGATATTAACTCTATTTTGCAAAATATCTTTGAACAAATTATAATCAATTATCTATCATTTTCATCCATAATTCTCATGATTGATCATATTCACCCACTACATTGATAATTTGCTGTCTTCCATTGAACTTATCCAAATCATAAAATGTTTATTTGTTATTACATTGTCTTCAACAAGTGCTACTTCCCCAACCCCTCTCTAATATATCCATTTCTTACCATCATTATGAGTGTTACCACACTACCTCCTTAACATTCTCATATTTTTCATTCAGATTGGCTAAGATCCTAATTGTCTAACACTAAGATCCATATAAAACAATTGATCCAATTGCAATTTTCTTAAATTTAGTATTTAGTCTCCAATTAATTCTCCTATCCTATCTTGAGAGATACCTCCATTCTTTTAATAAATCAAAGATACTTAAACAAGTCCACAAAAAGTAACAGATGATCATCCAATGATGTTATTTAATAAATAACAAATTCATTTCCACAATAAATGATGTACTTGACCTTTGCTTTAGGTATTATAAACGCTTTATTTATTAATGTTTTCTCTAATATTCTAAGTCTTCACTTGCTTCAAAAAAAATATTATAGGTAAATATTATGTCATCTACAAATAGCATGCACCAAGTTACATAAATTTGAAAATCTTTTGCATCTCCATCACTGATGTAAAAGGGGTACTTATTATTGATCCTTGAACATTATATTGCGTTGGAAACTACTACACTACTTTAAAATATCACTCACTATCTCAATTCATATCTTTAATAAGTTCAATATATATTTGACCAAAATCATTCTCCTCAACGCACAACAAGTGAACTCTAATATTACTCAATCCTACGACCTTTCAAGAAAAATAAAAGCTACATGAAGATTCTTTGGTGTTCATCATAACTTTTCCAACTAACTCAGCGGGCAAAAAAACCATCCCCAAAAATTATCTGCGGAGCATGAAATCAAAGTGATTTTGATATCAATATGAACTCTAAACCCACTTTCCAACATCATCTCCTATAATTTCTACTTTGAAACACACAATTTTTATTCTCATAAAATTATTACACAACAACATATTCTTTAATCATAATTTATGGAATCAAAATATTTTTTAGAACCATCTGAATTTCATATAGTCTTCAAGATTCATGAAAATATTCGTAAATGAAACTACTATGACACATATTATAATTCCCCAAAACATGATGGGGATTATCTGTAACTTATAGATATATCATTACGAGTTTTCTTCAAAGTTGACTTCACTTTTGTTAAACAATATATCGAGAACAACATGATTGCAAAAATTTTGCTCTTATTTTCTCCACTATAGTATTACCAATTGATATATCTTAAAATAATATTTTCATATTTCTTTTGTATTTTCAGCATTAATTAAAATTCAACCATATTAACTCTTTGAAATTATAGCATAATTAAATTCAATATGACTTAATTCACTTTCCTTATCTAATGAATACATCTCATTTGTACACTTTCTTAGGATATATTTTGGATAGCTTTATTTTATAGGTCACTTCCGCATTATTGTCTAGCGAAAATTTGCTTGCTATTTTTTTAGAAATTTATGCGATGAGAATGAACTTTCATAATATAATTTTTTATTGTAGTAGTTGTAAGAAAATTGATGCCTAATCCTTTCAAAATATAAAAAGTCTAAATGTCGAAATCTTTTCAAAAACTCTACTTCCCTCAAAATAGTTGCATAAGTAATTTTATAGACAAATAAAATCAAGCTTCACAAACCCTCTCTGATCTATATAAGACATCAATCATAATAGCCAATTTTTGTCTGATACCTTATTTGTTAAACTTAAAGCTTTTTAATAATTAGTGTGCACCTTACTAGCATCAAACTTTTGTCATTGTTTACCTTGATAACATTGTATAACTCCTAATTCGGGGAGGAACCAGACTTTACTTAAATGGAAAGGCAGTTTGATTTTTTCCTCCACCTGAAATATTATTTTGTCTTTCGCTGAACTAGCCCCTCCCACGTTGGATCTATGGAGGAATTTTGCCGGCCCCCTCCCCCTTTAAATTTATTTTTTTACTCATATGGAAAGGTAGTTTGATCTTTTACTTCTCCTGAAATATCATTTTGTCTTTCGTTGAACTAGACACTCCCACATTGGGTCTAGGGGGATAGTTTGCCCGCCACACCCCCCCCCCCTCAAAAAGATGGCCAATTTTGCCCCTGCTCTTAATTCCACCATCAAGTCTTTTTTCTTATGTTTATATCCTTCTAGACTCTCTCAAACACTTTTATTACAATTTTTTTAATGCAAAAAAGTCTTCCCATCCTAAAGCAAACATTTCTTAGGTTGGCTAATTTATACTTATGAGATATATGTCCATAATTATTATTCTATCATGTTCACCTTGAGTCACCTCACAAACTTTAAAATCATTTTTCTTTCATCTAATAATAAACTTTAATTTTATGATTTGGGCTCCACTTTTAAAATCAATTAAATTTTCCTCTCATTTCTAAAAATGCTCATATAATCCACTTAGTGGGATAGACGCTTATTGTTGTTGTTGTTCTTAAAAGGTTCATATAAGTTCATTTTTGTCTGTGTTGAGCAGAAATTTGTACTTGTAGTGTTCAATATTTAACCTGGTGTATGAAACTTATTTGTTGGTTCTTATATCCCGAGCAACTAATATTGGTCCTTCGCAAAAATGGATATCAGCTTAATCTAAGTGTTTATGTAAGAAAACTTAGATGTAGGTGTCAGATTATAATCTCTTTTCTTTTGTTTACTTTTCATTCAGAGAGGGTGGCAGGCTGCTGCTTTAACAAGACAAAGCAATCAGTCCAATGCTAGTGTGTCTCTTCTAATTTACATACATACCAACAAAGTCATATGTATTTAGATATCTAACACCAAAAATTTGTCTTTTACATGTATACCACTCAAATCTTTCATATCACATCAAAAATACCACCATATTAACTTTTAAAAAACAATGAAATAAACCTTTTCATACATAAGTAAGGTGGTATGTATGAAAAAATTTAAGTTCAGGAGTTAGATATGTAAATACATTGGAATTGAATGGTATGTATGTAGATCCTCCTATTAAAAAAAATATGAGGAAAAAGGAGTACAATGTACCTCTTGCATTCTCTCATCTTTTCAGTTAGTTCTTCCAATTGCCTGCTCTGCCTGTTCGGATCTTTGACCTTATCCAGTTTCTGAAACCCATTTCTGCAAAGAATCAAAATCACGGGTAACGACATAGAGGAAAGCCATACAGTTATGAATAAAATATTGCGAGATAGAACCGAAATCACAGAAATAATTATTGGTGAACAAATTTTAGGTGGAACTTCAAACTCCTAATCCAATGAAGGTTGAACGTGCAGTGGAAGCAAAATTCTTCTCTTTTGAAGAAGTATTAAGCGCTCTTTTATTTGAATTCATTAGCAACAGCTAGTAAATGTCATATCTCTGTGCCAATATTTCATTTCTCATAAGCCTAGAACAGTACAATCTTCATGTGCTTGTTTAATTACGGAATAATGTTGTTGCTAACGCCTTCAAACGAAACAAAATACCACGGAACAAATCCTCCTCCGAAAAAGTTACATGCATCACACCGAAAAGAAATTTTCCACGGATCGGCGAATAAAATTATGGTTGACATTCAGATATCTTACGATAGTGCTCGAAGTAAATCGTTGATTTGCGCATCGATGTTGGCAAGATCCTCATTGATCGCTGATATATCCATCTATATAACCAGAAGCAAAAACGCAAAGTCTTCGCGATAGTTTCAACACCGGGTCCAAGCCCAAGGCACGAAACAAAAGATCAGCTCACCAATCACTAGAACTCGCCGAATCCAACCCACAAAAGCATCTTCACATCCTTCACTGAATTACTAAACTCAAAAGTAATCTAAGGGATGTTTTGGTAGCAGTAATTAATCAAATTTTAGGTTGCCAAATTGCCAAAATAACTCCATCGGCTGTATAAATCCCGTTTTACCACTGTTTCGCTCTGAATCCAGAATTTACTGAATTCTTTAATTTTGTGTATTAGGGATTTAGACGAACAGAAACAATGCGCGATCCCGTCGATGCCTTCACCAGCCAGCTCCCGTCTCGATTTCCTCGCTTCTTAGTTCCAGCGGAAGCAGATGGTAAAGGAAGACGAGGATTTCGGACGCGATCTCGTCGAGGCCTAAAGGCCTTCAACTTCTGGGAGAAGGCGACGACGGGGTAGAGAACAGGACAGAGGCGAGAGGTTCCCGTGACAGGTGCCTTTAGATGGTTTCTAATTGTAGAATTTGAATTAATTTCAGTCTTCTCCTGTTGATTATGAAAAAATATTTTGTTTTGAGTTTTTACAAAGATACCACTCATAACTTCAAATATTACGGTCTCAACCCCACCAAATTTTAAAATTTACAATTCAGTCACCAGTGACGGTTCGGTCGGTTCCTTGGCTCGCCTATCACTTGGCGCTTACTGTTGTTTTCCAATCCACCGTTTGTCTGCGGCTATCATTTGACATTTGTTTCTTTTTCCAAGAAACTTGAATGATCCTCAATCAAATCAGTTTTGATCGACAAATGAGAACAACGATTAAGAAATTTCCTCTTAGAATATTTTTGGTGTTATAATAACACAATAATACATCAATAACACATGAATAACACACAATAACACATGAATAAAACGGGAGAGAATATTCCTCGTGTTACTGTGTCGTTTTTTCTCTGTCGGGAATATTCCCCGTGTTATTGAGGTGTTATTGTGTGGTATTCATGTGTTATTGTATCTTGTGAATATTCTTGGTGTTATAATAACAAAATAACGCATCAATAACATGTGAATAACACACAATAACACATGAATAACACGGGGGAGAATATTTCTCGTGTTACCGCGCCGTTTTTTTCTCTATCGCGCGGGGTGTCATCGCGCGGGGTGTCGTGGCGTGCACGTTACTCTACGTGCGTAGAACTGAGCTCGTTACTCTCCGTGCGTAGAACTGATGTAATATTTTTTCCCTGGGGGGGAGAGACCGGCGAGGGATCAATTAGATGATAGCTATTTCGAAAAAGGCAAAAATTTTGGGTGATTTAATTATATTTTGAAGTTTGGGTATTGAAGTTGTTATATTGGAAGTTTTTAGTGGCATGTATGTAAAAACCCACTTTTTTTGGAAGATTTAAGTTACAGTCCATGAAATTATTATGCAAATAAATATCGAACATCTAAGTTTCAATTTTGACTTACATGTCACATTGTCAATGCATAAAATTGTACATTTCATTTTTCTTATGCATCAAAAAGATGTATGCATGTAAAAAATTGAAAAATTACATGGTATATATGTAAAAACTCTTTTTTCTTTTAGCATTGTTTTAGGAAAAATAGCAAGTTAAATAACTTAAAAATATTTATAATTTAATTAAAAAAATTACATTTACAACTGTAATTAATCATATATTTAAATGTTGTGATGTGATAATTACAATTTAATTGGTGAGATTAGAATTGATAAAATTTAATTTGATCAATTCTATTGTTATTCAATTAAATAAGTTAATATAAAAATATATTTCAAAATTCATTTCAGATCAGACAGCTCTCATTTTATCAAACTTCTTATTTAGAGCATGATTCAAAAGAAAATTTGTTTAAGCAAAATTCAAACAGGGTTTCAAATAATGTCCAAACCTGCTCCCATAAAATTTTCACAGTTTGTTCAAACCCTAGTCAAGCAAAGTTTGACTAAGGTTATAACATTGCATGATTGGAATCATGCTCAGTTTTAACTATACTCAAATAAGAACCACATTTAAAGCTTCTATAAATAAAATTCAAATTATATACCTCATAGGTAAGTGCAATTTTATATGTCTGAAAAATGTTGATGGTAGCAGAGATCAGTTGGTCGTCTTATTCAATCGGTCGTCAGCCGACCGACTGACCATATCGTTGGATGGACCTATCAACGAAAAGGTGTTAATGAAAACAATAAAAACTGATAACTCTCGGGATCATAGTAACTAATAACTCTCAAGAGCATAATGACTTCTAACTCTCAGGAGCATAATGACTTGCAATTCCCATAAATATAATGACTTGCAATTCCCAGAAGCAAAATGGCTTATAACTCTCAATGGCAATGGTGTAATTTATGAGATTTCATTATGATCTATAAATAAGATGATATTTTCGAAGTGGAGCATAATGACTTGCAATTCCCATAAGCAAAATGGCTTATAACTCTCAATGGCAATGGTGTAATTTATGAGATTTCATTATGATCTATAAATAAGATGATATTTTCCAAGTAAAGGGGCAGAAAGTCATTTAGACTTTTCAGTCATTTAGGTATTACTCGCTTCTTCTATTGTAATGATTCTTTTCAATAAATAAAATGGGTCTGAGAGTTCGGAGAACACCCCCAGTTTGCTCCGCTCGAGACAATTGCTATGTTACTCTCGTCTCTCGTTTTTTTTCCTCTTCCTCGGTCCCTATGCTTTGTCTCAGGCATGGTGAACATGAAAAATTTGTATTCAGCATTCTAAAAGGAGTAATCGGTGTGGATCGTGCGGTCAACAAGAAGACGAACAAAAATAATGAAAAATTTATTCACAGAAGCACTTCTTACAAAGAGCACATAAGGAGAAATCTCTCTACGAGACGACCACCCAGCTGACCGGACCGACTGGTTCCCGTCCGGCCAGAAATTCCTCCCTCGAACGGCCCGTTTCGTCGGCAATATCTCCTCTAAAAGACTCTCTAAAAGATTACATCAGAACTCCTAACGTAGTGCTACGTTCGGAGTCCATTGATATGCGTACACGTGGCTTCAAGAAAACGCGTGTGCCTTCTTGTGATCCCTCCTGGTAACACAGGAGAATATTCCTCCTGCGTTAGTTTGCGTTATTCATGTATTATTGTGGTGGTATTAATGTGTTATTGTGTTATTATAACACCAAAAATATTCTCAGAACACTATAACATATAAATACAACCACAATAACAGCTGAATAATGCGGAATAACACGGGAGAAATATTCCCTGCACTAAAACAATTTTTTTTCTGTCACATCCACGTGTCCGCATATCAGTGGGCTCTGAACGTAGCTCTACGTTAGGAGCCCTGATGTAATATTTTTCCCTCTCTAATGACTGGCCACTTCCACCGGCCATCCTTGTCACGCAGAGAGTTTTGCGCCTTTCTGGTCAGTTCTACTTTTTATCAAGCACTTCCAATTTCTCAGGCCGCCCCATCTCTGATGCTATTTATTTTCAGTCAGCCAACCCAATGGAAGAAGGAACATATGTTCCACATCAATACTTCAAATGAGCTCAGAATCAGACTCCAAATTAGATCTTTTAAAAAATTTTACTTTTTATTTGGGCAATGGAAGGATCAAACGTAGTTCGGTGTTCCAAATAATGTTGTCGTTCCACCTTCAGCTGCCTGTTGTTTCAAGTTAGATCGGCTAGCAGGAAATTTTTTTTTTTTCTTTCTCGTGCAAGTGGGATATTTGGGCCCTACAAGCTGGATGGAAAGAAGTATTAATTATGCATGAGTGGGGATTCGAACCATACTTCAGGTCTGAGAGGAATTCCGACCAACTGAGAATCTTCCAGCCGATCACTTGCCTCTTAACTGTTTGTATCAAGAATCTTATTTTCAGAATCTTAAACCTATCCACAATTATTTTCACAGTTATTTTCAGAATCTTAAACCTTTCCACCATAGGCCAATATCTAATTATAAGTTGGCAACCAAACTAGCTCCGTACATAACCTAATCTTATTATTAACCAAAAAAATATAACTTAAAAACTTTTTGATCATGTTTTAATGTATCCACTAAATACCGTATCTAAAGATTTAAAATTTGGGTCTCCCCAATTGTTGACCATCATTGTGTGATTTTCCTTAATTTACTCCAATAAACTTTTCTATTACTTGCACGTGTTTAATAATATCTTTTAAGAACTTTTAATATGAAATAACCCACCAAAGTGATGCTAAATCTTTGTCATCTCATAAATTGAAAATGTTACAAATTTTAGAAAAGATACGTGGAAATGAATTTTTTTTCATTGGGCACCTCAGTAATCTTTTTATGTTATTTTTCTTTCAATGTAGTGTTTCTTCGTATTATACAATAAATTTTATTAATTAATGAGCAATTCTATGAAATTTATGATATGCCTCTAGTAGGTGGATCTACTAATTGATATTGCATGTATCATAACCTACCCTTAGAGATTATGTTAGGGGTAAAAAAAGTTAATAAGTTAACAAGCTTAAGAAAATGTTATGATTTTTCAACTGTAGAAATAATAAAAATGTAAAATCATAGTTTATATTGACATAAACTAGTTGAAGTTCACAATCTCAACTTGTATTAATTACTTTACTTTATTTATTATAGTTTCGAGTGAGCTTCATTTTTTAAAGCTTTCAAATTTTATGTTATTTTTACCATTTAAGCATGTCAAATCATCAATCACACACTATTACACCCAAATCCTATTATAATTTATGATGAGATATCAACTTATAAGGAGAATGAATCAACAAGTTGGAGAAGAAGATAGAAAATAAGATATCGTGATTGATGCTTGTAGTGACTTAAATTTAATATCCAACCAAATACTAATAAGTATAAAGATCAAAACATCATATAGTGCCCTTTCATGCGACCTAGGCGAACCAAACATCACTTATGTAGGCAATTAGAAGTATGGTAGCTATAAAACTAAGAACCCATGAGGTCTGCTTGGTGTTTGATGTACTAAATTTATATGAATATATGCCACAAACTTATAAGTAAACCTTAGTTATTTGATATGAGTTCCATTTATTATGATGGAAAATTTCTTATATATTACAATTTTATTAATCTTAATAACCTTCGTCCTATAAAACTAAATAATGGGCTAACACAAGAGATACAATTAAACATTCAACCTAAATATAAATAAAAAACAAATCATAAGATTCAATTGACTAAAATCTGACCATCCAAGATGTCTTTTTTATGAATACAAGGTTTAAAATTTTCTCCAAGATGACTCATTTTATATCATGTAATAAAACTACTACTGCAACATATATTGGAAGAATGTTTTTCATGAAGATTGTGAGACCATATGGGTTGCACAATCCTATAATATCTTACTATTAGGCCTGTGTCTTCTTTAGATGTTCTACGATTTGAATTATAAAATATCTCTTAATATAATTAATATTTTTAGATATGTACTTTGATATTCTGCATTTATAAGTGTCAAGTATTTTACTTATTTGCATGAAAATGCAAATAAATAAATTGAAAAAAAATAGCATTAAGTATATTGAATGCATGAATAAAGCTTTATTTGCAAAATAATATTAATAAATATTATGTGATGTATATCATATCTTTAAGGAAAACCTCCAAGTTCACTAAACTCCATACAAGAGCATCTATTTCAAATCCTATATGTGTGTGTGTGTGTGTGTATGTGTGTCTGTGTGTGTGTGTGTCTTAGGGGAAAACAACTACATACATGTGAACATTCACCCAACAACTAAAAGTGAAGAATATAATGACAAATGAAGATTTGTTCAATGATACGAAAAAAAAGAGTTTCTAATGATTTGAAAGGATAAATCACATAACAATGCTATATAACTTACAAGATTTGATTTTGAAAATATAACATTTGCTATTATTGATGATTATCCATACTTTAAAAGAAAACGGTGGAGATAAAGTATGCACACTAGAAGCAAATGAACCAACACAAGAAGTTGAGAAAAAATAAAAGTGGGCAAATCCGAAAGAACACGAGGAATACCTTAAAATAGAAGTATTTATTTACGTTTTAAATTTTCATTTATTATAATTTTATCTAATAAGATGAAGTGTTTATGCATTTAATTTTATGAAATAATATGAAGAAGTTTGAAATTTTGATGATTTGATTTAGAAAATATATCATTTGTTATTATTGATGATTATCTTGACTTAAAAAGAAAGTAGTCGAGATAAATGATGCACACTAGAAGCAAATGAATCAATCACAAGAAGTTGGAGAAAAAAGAAAAGTGGGCAAAAAAGAAAGAGCGTGAGGAATAACTTAAACTATAATTTTTTATTAAGGTTTTAAGCTTTTATTAATTGTAATGTTATCGGATAAGACAAAATGTTTATGCTTTTGATTTTATGAACTAATATGAAGAGGTTTTAAATTTTGATTTGTATTTGAATATAAAATTTCAATGTATCAGAGAAAACTCTTATAAATTTATTGGAAAAATAATTGATTGTATGTATTTAAGCAACTAATTT